TGGATTGATTCGGTGACTGGGATAATCGGGATGGGTGTGTCAGAGGCGGTGCGGTTGGCGCAGGATAGAGCAGGGTTTAGAGCTGTTGTGCATAGGGTCACTATGAGTCGGAAACGACTCGATGGCACATAACAACAACAACAACAACAAATATTTCAGTACAGTGCCTTGTATATTCTAATCCAGTAAATAATTACAATATATGCTTGTGGAATAAATGTGAAGGCACCTGGTAGAAACCACAAATGGAAAAATAACTTTGAGAACATCATTTCTGTATAAAAGTATTAAAGCTGAAGAAAATAGTAGCTTTCCCTTTATTGACAGGATAGGTTCTAAGAAATGTACTCATATTTCAACATACTCTTTCAAACTTCAATCCCTGCCAATAGCAGTTCCAGGCCACTAATCTATAGTGGGGAGGAAAATCCTTTTATCACAGATAAACTTTAGCAACTTAAAAGAAAAGCAGGGGTGAGGGAAGTTAAGGCTGTATCATTGTACTTCCACTAAAGTACATAACATACATAATTCTTCATCAGAAAAATTTTATACTTTACAACCAAGAAAACTATTTGTGACTTTAAAAATAATAACTCACTTCATTAACTATATTTGTAACTGTGAACCAGCATTTTATACCAGAAACTATACCAGAAATTTGTATTTCTCAAAAGTATATAAGGACAACTAACCTTAAACTGCTTACCACCAGGTCAAATGTATTTTCTCGGAAGGGGAGGAATTCTTCATCAGCTAATACACTGACAGTAGGAATTTCTGTTTCTACAGTAAGTTTCTGACAGGAAAAAAAAAAAGTTTAAAATTTATATAGAAACTCAATTACTCCTTTATCTAGAATTAGTCATTTATATAGAATCTCAATTAGTAATATAAACAGTAATAAACTGAAGCCATGTTATATTTATGAGGGAGTTTACATCTTTTTAAAAAAACAAGGTAGAACGCAGATAAGGCACTTAAAAAATATTTGTTACATGGGTCATTATAGGGTCACTCTGATTTGCAGGTGACTCGATGGCATATAACAACAGCAAAAGTGGATAGTTAATCAGAAAAAAAACCAGGACTCCCATCACACACTACAACAAACCTGAGAAGACAGAGCCTTGGTAAAATAATTGAAACCATAAAGGTAGGTACTAGATGAAAATGTGGATCAACATTTCCATGTGCTTAGGTAAAATAGCCTAAATAAGTATAGCTTAAAAGGAAAACTGAATATATATATATATACACACACACACATACATACATATACATATGTGTGTGTGCGTGAGTGTGTGTGTGTGTGTGTATATATATATAGATAGATAGATGGTGCCTCTCTGGCAATTCGAATCTACCAGCCACTCTGAGAGAAAGATGGATGATTTCCTCCTGTGCAATTTCCATCTTGGAAAATCTGCTGGAGGGTAAGCTCTGAGTTGGTTCTGACTTGAGAGCAATCACTTGACTTTGACTAAAAGCATAATCAACTATCTGGTGTGAAAAACAATGTATACAAACTTTATGAACTTTGTATATAAACCAGTACAAAATAATCCTTGGGAGGGAAGGCATCACATAAACTAACCAGCTGAATAAATTGTATTATTATTTTAAAAAAAGTATTTAACAATGGAAATAAAAAACTACAAAGACCTCATAAGATAGATATATGATGAATATACCTAAAAACTAAGTTCTTATAAATCACCTACAATAAGAATATGCCAAGTTTAGAATAAAGGACAATATACAAGTACTTTAAAAAATTATTTTACAGAATGTATGCAATTATAAAAAATTACTTACAAAATTCACAAACTAATAAAATATTAGTAGTCAAAAGGCATGAATAGTTATTTTGTTGCACAAATGATTGAAAAAATGTTAATAAAAGTAACAATTGGGTTTTACTTTCTACCCACCCACCAGACTGACAAAAAAGACAGTCTCAGTGTGTCAAAGAAAAGAATAAGTATTTTCATATAATACATTGTTTGGTCTGGAGATCAAAAATTAAAAATAAAGCCATAAATTCTACTATCAACAACTTATTTACAAGGAGAGAGAAAATGCAAAAACACAAATTTGCCTAAGACAACAATGATTACCTGTGATTATTTTAAACTAGAAAGAAAATAGCCTTTCTGTAGAAATTTGCTTAAATAATTTATGGAATACTCATACTTAAACTACTATATTGCCACAGTGCTAAGAAGCTGTGTTGTCATGCAAAAGTCTGGTATTTCAAATGCACCAGCTTCAAGATGAAAGAAGGATGGGCAATCCCCTACTGTGTAATTCAATGCTTCTGAAAATCCACTGGAGGGGCAGCTATGGTTCTGACTCGACAGTATCTATTTGTGTGTGTGTGTGTGTCTATGTCTATTGTTGTTGTTGTTGTTTGATGCCGTTGAGTCATAGACAACTCATAGCGATCCTATGAACGAACGGCCTGAGCACTGTTCGTACATAGAGTTTCCGGAGACAAGCCATTTCGGAAGTGGATGCCACTCACACACTCAATTCATTAACTCAGAAGTGACCTGTGTGAGAAGCATAGTATATTAGCATAACATCATTTGTATAAAGATGTGTTTTTGGGTACCTACAAAGGTGGAGACCAAAATGTAATTAGTAGATTTTCCAAAAGGGAATTAGGGATGACTTTTTTCCTTTTATGTTTCTTGTGTAGTTTAATTCTTACTGTATGCCACATTTAAAATTCTAAAATGTCTAAAAGCTAAAAGAAATTTTTATTTAGGAGAAAACAAAAATAAAGGAGTAAAGTTCTGAAAATCAAACCAACAGGGAAAAAAACACCAGTAATAAATCTACCTACCAAAGCATTTTCTGCAATGTCTGCTTGAAAAAACCTGCCAACAGTTTCCTGCAGTAGAATAATTAAAACAAATTAGAGGATTGAATAATTATAATAAAACAACAGTTGCAATTGCTACAGAAAAAGTTGTAAATATACTTTTCGCTTTGTAACATTATTTTTGCTCATAATGTCAACATGGTATAAAATAACTAGCAAAATTATTAGTAAGTTATACAGCTACAAAAGATCCAGAACTAAGACTTAACAAAGGTGGATACGTGAAGGTTGTTGGGAAAGGTTAAGTGGTTTCCTCTATCCTCTGCTTCACCCATCTTCTCTTCCTTCCAAAAAATGTGTTAAGTCTTTCTTTGCTGGATTAACATTTCTCATCATGCTCTCTTTTTTCTTCCAGGATCGTGCTCCTTCAATCACCATTTTTATAATCTCCCATCTCTAACTTCTCTCTTCCCCTCATCTTACCACTATTAAGAAGGTTCTACTCATCTCAGGGTCTCTATATAAAACAGACCACCAAAGATAGCCTTTGATTTGTTCCAGCCACTAAAATGACCAACTTCATAGTTAGCTTGGATTTCTCCATGCAGTATTTACTTAACAAATGTCCAATGCTTTTTTTAAAGAAAGATACCTGCTATAAATAAATCACTGAACATATAAAATCTGATCAACTGCCAGAAGTTCAAGCTGGATTTACAAGAGGCTGTGGCATCAGGGATATCTTTGGTGATGTCTGATGGATCTGAAAGTAAAGAATACCAGAAGAATGTTTGTGTTTATTGACTATGCAAAGACATTTGACTGTGTAGATCATAACAAGTTATTGCTCATATTGAGAAGAACAGGAATTAATTGTGCTCATGTGAAACCTATGCCTAGGCAAGGAGGACGTACGCATCAGGGCTGTATCTTCTCTCTATACCTATTCAATCTGCATAGTGAGCAAATTATTCGAGAAGCTGGTCTCTATAAAGAAGAATGTGTCATTGAAGAAGACTCATCAATAACCTGCCTTATGCAGTTTATACAACCTTGCTTGCTGAAAGTGAGGAAAAATTGGAACACTTGCTGCAGAACATCAAAGAATGCAAGCCTTCAATATGCATTGCATCTGATCATCAAAAAAACCACAAATTTTTACCACTTGACTGATAGACAACATTATGATAGCTGGAGGAAAGATTAAAGTTGTCAACAATTTCATCTTACTTGGATCCACAATTAATACCCTTGGTACCGGCAGTCAGGAGATGAGGAGATACACTGCACTGGGAAAGTCTGCAGTCAGAGATTTCTCCCACTTACTGAAGAGCAATGATGTCAGTTTGAGAACGAAGGTGTCACTGGTTCTCAGGCCACAGTCTTTTCAACCACTTGCTATGCATCAGAGAGCTGTGCACTAACTATGGATGACAGAAGAACTGATGGCTTTGAGCTGTGTTGTTGGAGCAGTGTGGCCAAAGATCCCACGGACTGCCAAAAGAATAAACAAATGTCTTGCAGAAGGTGCAACCAAAGTGCTCCCTGGAGGCCAAGATGATAAAACTTCATCACACATACTTTGGGCATGTTGCTGAGAGAGGCTATTCCTTGGAAAAGGACATCAGCTTGAAAAGGTGGATGTCAGCAAAAGAGAGGAAGATCCTCGACCAGATGGACTGATACAATGACTGCAATTGGCTCAAGTGTGTCACAAATATGAGGACGCACAGGCTAGGACAGGGTTCAGATCTGTTGTTCATAGGGTCACTTAGAGTGACTAATAGTGACACAAGGGGCCCCTTGATGACACTTAACAACATTCAAGAGAGCAGGCAGGCTAGAGATGTTAAAAGGTTAAGAAGAAGGGTAGGAGAGAAGGTCTGAGATAAAGCATTAAGGGTTAGTGCTTTAGATCACTACTGACATAAGAAGCAAATGATCTGTTGTTTTAAAATTATCTGATTGCTCTAAAATAGACTGTGGGATAAGGGTAGAAGCAGCATGATCAATAAGATCACTAAGAGATGATGGTAGTCTGGATCAATACAGTAATGTTAACAGCTCCAAGAAGTGAGAGATGTGGATATTTTTAAAGTTAAACAAGGCCCAGATCTTTGGAGCAAGAGTTCCTCTGGGTCACTAATAAATTTTTCTTCTTTCGTGTTAAAAAAAAAAAAAAGTTAAACAAGATTTGTTGATGTGTTAGGTATGGGAGGGAAAATAGAAGAAGAAATGAGTAAAGTATTTACAGTATTTGTTCTCACTGACTGAAAGATAAAATCACCAGGTCCTTTATTATGTAATCAGTTCTCAAGTTCATTCTACTGACTGATTCTATCGCTCTCTCAGATATCCCTTTTTATCTTGCTGCTTTTGTATCCCTGGATGGCCAATCTTCCTTTATTTCACCACCATTAAGGAGCACCGGTGGCCTAGGGGAAGAGAGTTGTGCATTACAAATCCAAAGCCAGGCGGTTTGAATTCACTAGCTCCTCTGGACAAAGATGAGTAATCTCCTGTTGATTTATAGACTCAGAAAACTCAATGGTGGGGCAGCTATGAGTCAGTTCTGATTCAACTGCAACAAGTTTGAGTGGTTTTTTTAGTCACCACCATTAACATTGCCTCTTTTTTCCCCCTATCCTCTCCCTTTTTCAATCTTCCTTGCATATCATCCCAAATTAATCTATATCATACTTTCCAACACCTTGCAACAATTATTTGAATCTCAGCCTTACCTCCTATCACTGATCACTTCCAGTATTTCAACAAACCACCAATCCAAAGTCTTTTAAATTCTTGATCAGATTCTGTGTATGTGAGAAGTCCATGACCACCTGAGACTTTACTTAATTTTCCTTCCCTTTAATTCCTATTACACTTGAACAACTGTAACACACCTCATACTCCTACCCCAATTCAAAATTTTAATCTAAGTAGACGCTACACAGAAATGCCACTTTAATCTCTGTATCCAGCACAACATTCTATACATATGGACTGCTGTTTTATGTATGTGCTTTCAAGCCACAACTGATTTATAGCTGAACTTCCAGTGGGTTTTTAGAGGCTGTAAATTGCACAAGAGAATGTTCATCTTTCTCCCTCAGAGCAGCTTGTGTATTCAAACTGCTTGCCTTTTGGTAGCCCAGCTTTTTCCCATGAAGTCTTCAGAATCGCACATACAGGGACTGTTGATGTTATGTGCTATCAAGTCACATAGGGACTGTTGTTATGTGCCTAAGACTCATGGCGACCTTAAGTACAACAGTTCTGAACCCTGGCCTATCCTGAGCTAGTCTCACTGTCTCCAACACCCATACACCCACTGCCCCAGTTGCTGTGTCAATCCATCTCATCTGGCATCTTCGTCTCTTGCATTGTCCCTCCACCCTTCCAAGCATGATGACCTTCTCCAGGGACAGGCCCCTCCTGGCAACATGCCCAAACTATGTGAGATGGAGCTTTAAAATCCTTTCCTCCAAGGAGCAGCTTGGTTTTACCCTCTCTAGAACAGACTTGTATGTTCTGTTTGTGGTCCAATGGTATGTTCAGTGCTCTTCTCCAGCACCACAACTTTAAGACACTGATTCTTGTTATCTTTAGTCACTGCCCAACTCTCTGATGCATAACAAGTAACTATGAATATATGGATATACCACAAAAAATTCCTGGCATCACAATAGCTAAGAGCTTGGCTACTAAGAAGGGGCTGGCAGTTTGAATCCACCCAGAAAGTCTACAGCATAAAAATCAGAAGATCTGCTCCCACAAAGATTACAACTCATTAAAACCCTGTGTGACAATTCTACTTTGTCACGTGGGGGTAGAGATGAACTTGATGGCATCTAACAACTCAGGTTTAATCATACAGAAAGACTTTTCTACTCAGTGACGAAATGAATTTTTACTAAAAATTAATTAAATTTTCTTTTTTTGGTTTTTTTCCCCCCATTAATTCATTGTTGCACTTTTTTTCTCCCAACCCTCCCCCCTAGTACACTACCCTCTTGGAAAAGTAAAAGAAAAAGTCTTTCATTATTTTACAATTGTTTTTGGGCTCCTGTCATGACAAAAATACCTAATAATATATCCCTTTTAAAGAGTTTTCTTCCTCATCTGTTTCAATGCAGTATACATTATTGAACCCATCTTTCTCAGTCTCCCCCCAAACCCGAGGTCAGTCCTGTTTTACAACAGTGGCACCATGCAGTATTTGTCCTTTTTGTGACTGAGATACTTGACTTAGCATAATGTCCTCCAGGGTGATCCATTTTAATAGTGCATGAGTTCCTTGTTTTTCAATGTGGAAAAGTAATTACATTTTCAATAACGCAAATCAGATTTTCATTGTGAATTACCATACATATTTAAGCAAAGTGGGAATAAAAATAAATTTATATCCATTTTAAAAATACAATGCTGTTGTTATGCACCGTCGAGTCACCTGCAACTCATAGTGACCCTGTGTACAATAGCCCTAAACCTTGCTCTGTCCTGTGTCAATCTCACTGCCTCTGACACACCTACCCCGATCACCCCAGTCACAAACTCAATCCACCTCGTAGAGGGTCCTCCTCTCCTGCACTGTCCCTCCACCTTCCCAAGCATGACGTCCTTCTCCAAGGATTGGTCCCTCCTTGCAACATGCCCAAAGTATGTCAGATGAAGCTTCAGAATCCTTGCCTCCAAGGAGCAGCCTGGCTTAACCCTCTCCATGACCAACTTATTAGTTCTCTTAGCAGTCCATGGTATATTCAATACTCTTCTCCAACACCACAGCTCAAAGGCATCAATTCTCCTTCTATCATCCCTCATCATTGTCCAGCTCTCTGATGCATAGCAAGTGACTGCAAAGACCATCATGGCCTGTGCCAGGTACACCTTAGTCTCCAGAGTGACACAACTGCTCTTCAGTACTTTGAAGAGATCCTGAATAGCAGACTTTCCCATTGTAATAAAAAACAACGTACCTCTTCTGCTGGACCGTTGCCTTACATATTATCTAGCCACTCTTTTCCTATTCTCCTCCTAGTCCCCCATGTCAGGTTCTGCTTTGTAACACTGGTGTTATGCAGTGATCTGTCCTTCTGTGCCTGAGCTATTTCACTAAGCACAATGAGGACTGAGAGAGGAGTATCAGAGAGGTGGAGGGAGGAAATTGTACAGCAATGAATGAATACTAAGAAAAAAAGATGAACTGAGGAGGGGGAAAGGAGAAAAAATGTGCAACAATAAATGAAAATGCAACTTTTCTGTAAACTTTTGTTAAAATTACAATTAAAATTAAAAAATTTATTAGTAGTAAAAGAAAAAATGCTTAACACACAAAAACAATCATGGTTTGTAGCACCAAAACGCCCAAGAAGTTAGCAATTCTGATGTAATAAAAATCAAAGTATCACATAAATTGAATTGTGATTTCTAAAGTCTTTCTTTAAAATGAGCCAATTTTGTATCTCAGAATAAAATTTTAACATTGAATGACATACCTTATTCAAATGCTGTGCTATGTAACCTCTTCCACAACCAACATCCAAAGCGAGGGGGAAATCTCTAATATAAAAACAGTGTTTTATTAGTAATATCAATAATAGGCAATACATAACTCATATGTGTGCCTTACACAATAACAATTAATTTTTCTTAGGAAAAATTATGTTCGTGAACACAACTCTCTGAGTTACATCATCTTTCTTACTTTACAAATTATCTCTATCAGAGAAGAAAACGTATGAAGCAAGTCTGACTGGCTAGTCATTCGGAGGTCCTTAGAAGCTGGCTTCCCTGGAGGCTGCTCCATCCTAAGGACTGGAATACTACTTAAATGAGATTATTGTATAAAGAAGTCAATATAAACTAACATGAATATCCTTACAAGATAGTTGTTGTTGCCATCAAGTCAATTATGAACAGCTATGAAATCTGCCTTATCCTGAGCCAATCTCACCATCTTGAACACATCTGCCCTCATCACCCGAGTCACTGTGTCAATCCATCTCATCTGGGATCTTTCTCTCTTGCACTGACATTCCACACTTCCATGCACGATGTCAGTCTCCAAGGACTGGTCCCTCCTGGCTATGTGTCCAAAATATGTTAAGACAGAGCTTCAAAATTCTTGCCCCCAAGTATCAACCAGAACAGACCTCTTTGTTTTCCTGGCAGTCCATGGTATGCTCAATACCATTCTCCAGCACCACAACTCAAAGGCATTGCTTCTTCTGTCATCCTTAGTCATTGTCCAGCTCTCAGATGAACAATAACAAACTGCTATGAAGACTATGGCTTGCATCAGGCACACCTTAGTCTCTTGACAGACATCATTGCTTTTTAACACTAGGGAGAGGTTTCTGCAAGCCAACTCTACCAATGCAATTCGTCTTTTGATTTCCTGACTGCTGCTGCCAAGAGTGTTGATTTTGGATCCGAGTAAGATGAAATCGTTAACAGCCTCAATCAATCTTTTCTCCATCTATCACTATGCTGTTAATTGATCCGGTTGTGGGAATCTTTGTTTTCTTAATGTTGAGCTTCAATTCATATTGAAGACTGCAGTACTTGACCTTCTATAACAAACACTTCAGGTCCTCCTCAGTTTCTACAAGCAAGGTGTCTCCTGCTTAACACAGGTTGTCGATGAGTTCTCCTCCGATCTATATGCCACATTCTTTTCCATTAAGTTAAGCTCCCTGTATGATTTTTTCCGCTTATAGGTTGGTATGGAGAAAGGACACAAATGTGACACATTCCCTCCTTTTTTTAATTTCCAGGGCTTTTTCCATTTTTAATTTATATTGGTTTTCTTCATAGTTCATATACATTGTATTTCACACCATCCTTCATTCACACTTTGTTTCACACAATCATTTCGAGTCATTATACTTTATAAAATCAATCAACACTGAACTACGCCCAACACTGCCCTGTCTTTCCAGATCTCCGCTAGATCTTTCCCATTTCCTTTATTCACCCTCCCCCCCATCCATCACATTGTGTGACCCTATGACTTATCCATGCAATCCTCACCCCTCAGTTCCTACCCTTCCCCCCTCTTGGATCATCATACATTTTACTAGTTATCTTTCTGTTTCTACAACCGTGATCTTATACACTATTTGTCCTTTTGGGATTGAGGTAGTTCACTCAACATAATGGTCTCAAGTCTCTTTAAAGTTATACAATAATTTTCAAAATCATTGCTCCTGAGTGCTGCATAGTATTCCATTGTATGAATGTACCACAATTTCTCAATCTATTTTATTGAGGTTGGACATTTGGGCTGTTTCCATGTTCTTGTGATGGTGACACATTTCTTTCTTGATTTGAACCACACAATGATTCCTTGCTCTAACAATTGCTCCTGGTCTAAGCATAGGTTTAGCATGAGCACAATGAAGTGTTCATGGATTTTACTCTTCTCAAGATTAGCCACAATCTGTCGTGATCCACAGTGCAAAATGCCTTAGCATAGTCAATAAAACACAGTTAGATATTGTTCTGCTACTTTTTGCTTTCAGCCAAGATCCATCTGATGTTGGCAATGATACCTTTAGTGCAACAGCCTCTTCTAAACCCAGCTTGTATTTCTGGCTGTTCTCTGTCGATATACTGTTCCAGTCATTCTTGAATCTTTAGTAAGATTTTTGCTTGCATGTGATATTAGTGATACTGTTTGATAATTTCGATACTCTGTTGGATCATCTTTTTTGGAAATGGAAATAACTATGAATCTCTTCCAGTCAGTTGGTCATATAGCTGTCCTCCAAATTTCTTTGTAAATTCCTATTTTTTTTTCAACTTTGTTGATGCATGAGATCACATGAAAACAACGTTCTTTGTGAACAATGAGGAAGTATTAATATGGAAAACTAAAAAGAACTAAATAATAATCTTTATTAAAAATTTACCAGGCTTCAAGTACTATTAAGCAAGCTCTGGTGTCCTAGTGACAAGAAGCTGCACTGCAATCCCAAAAGGCATCTTGTTTGAATCCTCTAGCTGTTCCTAGGGAAAAAGATGGGCCATCTCCTCCCATGCGATTAACTGCCTCTGAAAACCCACCAAATGATCAGCTTTGGGTCAGTTCCAACTTGATGGTATACAAGAAGCAGGACAATTAAGTGCTCAGCACTGTGTTAGTCAACCCAAAGTCACTCAACAAGTCAATCACTCACTCCCTTCCTACCTCCTGAATAACAGCAGCCTTCCACTGGGTTTTCAAGACTTAAGCCACAAAAAAAGGAGATCATCCAGCTTTCTCTAAAGGAGACTCTGGTAGATTCAAACCTCAGGAGACACTCAATCTTTGGACTAACATATGGACTCAGTCACCAGAGCTCCTTAACTTAGAAGTACTCATGAGGCTTGGAAGTAGGAGTGGCTTCACTTAAAAAAAAAAAAAAAAGCTTGCCTCTGGAAACTCTATGAACTTGGAGAAAAGATGTTCAAAGGCTCACTATGTGCGGTCTATGATTCTACGGCACTTAACAACATCAGAAATTTAATCCAGCCAGTCCTTGAATTTTGAACCAGAACTATTATTTCTGATGCTACAATATCTAATTATACTGTATTAGCAGAGCCAAAGGGGTAATGCTTTGTAAGCTTCTTAATTATATGTAACCTTGAAGGGATGATTCGCTTGTTCTGAAGCCCCAGGACCAGAGTCTTGGGGAACAACAAGGCCAGCTAACATAACCCGCAGATAGTGGATTCTACTTCTGTAGTAGCAACTGAGATCTTAACAGTATGTATTTACTCCCTGGAATAATCAACCACACAGGATTTTTTAAAAAGCAATATTTAAAAAAAAAAACAAAAACGCAACATTTACCCATGGATAAAACTTAGAAGGATAGAATTCATGAAATCAGAATTACATTAAGTGGGAAAAGTGCAAGTACATTGTGGATACTGTTATTAATTTTATAAAATAATCTGTGTATAAATTAATAAAACCCCAAAATATGCTCTGTACACTTTCACTCAAATCACAAGTGGTATCTGCCCTCCAGCTGAAACTGACTGTTGACCCACTAACAAGTTTTCAGAGGCTATAAATCTCACAAGAGATGATAATCTTTCTTTTATTATGAAAAGAAATAAAATACACTGTATCATACTACATGGCAGCTCTAGTGGCTTAATCAGGAGGGAGCTGTGCTCCCAACTAAAATGTAAACAAGAGGAATCTATCAACTGTTCTTCAGAGAAACACGGCCAAACTCCTCTTGCGTCATTCAGTCTCTAAAAAGCACCTGGAGGGTCAGGGATGAGTCAGCTCTCACTGGACAGCCATAACAGAGTGAGAAAGAGATACCAAATCAATATTTAAAGAAAACCTGGAGACAAGAAAAGCTTACATTTAAAAAAAAGCTTACATTTTTTATCAGCTATTAAAAAAATGCAACAAAAATGGTTTCTTCTCAATCTTTCTTAAAAATCTGTTAGAATATAGCAAGCCTGTACAGAAATGGAGAATACCAATGGTTAGAGTTAATAACTTACTTTCCTAGAGCCTTACATATTGATTAGGAACACAAGCACAACTGTTAAAAAGAAACATTTGAATTCTGGGACTGAAACGGATTGGCTCTGCAGACAAAGGCAAGTGATTGATCCTTGATGGATCTTAGTTTCCCATCTATAAAATGGAAATATCACTGCTTCCTTCAGAGTTGGTACACAAGGAGTGTATGTAAAAGGGGCCCTATTGGCACAATGGCTAAGGGTTTAGCTGCTATCCACAAGATCAGTGTTTCAAACTCACCAGTAGTTCTGCAGAAGGAAAGAGCCAGTGATGTGCTCCATAAACATTACAGCCTAGGAAGCCACAGGAATACCTCTAGTCTGCCCTACAGTGTTGCCAGGAGTTAGAGGTGACCCACTGGGACTCACCAGTGCATTCTGAGGATTTTCCCAAGAATTTCATGCCAAAGAGCTAATGGTAAAGATATGCATTTAACCATAATCAAAAGTCTTAAAAACTTGTGTTTTGCTAAGATTACAAAATAAAAATTTCAAAATTCAGAGGTTTGCAAAATTTAACTTTTCATTAATGAAATCACAAATCACCTATAATTTAGGTGTAACAAACAACTGTAATACTAAGAATTAGCTATTTTTCAAACCAGTGAAATAACAGAACAGATGAAATGGGATCATTAAACAATGACACATTATGAAATCAAGTCATTCAAAGACTCTCTTTTAAGTGGGATAAATACATCTAAAACATGACTGCAAAAGCACCGATAGACAAATATAATAAATTCACCTCATTATTTGTTCTAATAGATGATCTTTTAACTAAAAGAGTGATTTGCTAATATTACAGAGCAATTCTATTGCACAACTAGAAGATAAGTGACTATTACTAATTAAAGGTTTAAATCTAGGTTTAGAAGACCTTAAATACTCACTTGCAATCAATTTTTTTATCTCCATTTTGGAGCAAATCTGTCCTACAACTTGCTTTTAGGCAAATCAAGAGGATGATTCAGAGTTGGCAAGAAGCTATGAGCTGTGCCTGTATTCACTCATTTTTTTAGCCAACAATGAAGAACGCCTGCTCTTGCACATTAAAAACAAGTGAATGAGAGTGTGATTACTTCTGGCAGCAGATTTCTCCAGATTCTTTTTTTTTTTAATTAATGTTAATGAAAGTTTACAGAGACGTAGGGTTTCCAGAGATTCTTCCATTCCTGATACCAAGTACTCCACATTTAATCTGAAGTCACGAGCCAAAATGTGACTCCATCTTACTAAGACAGTATCACTCACCTGGCTACGTCATATACACGGTCAGCAATGCGACTTCCAACCTGAAGGATATCAAGAGGCAATGATACACACAAGTTAAGATGAATAGGTTTAAGAAAGAAGTAAACTTTTTCCAATAATTCTGTTTAGTTCAACCAGTGGAGAAATATTTTACCCCTTTTTCTGTAAATTTTTACTGTAATTCTGAATAGGAAGGTAAAGAAATTAAAATAATTCAGCAAACAAATTAATACAAATTATTTCAGAAGCCAATTAACATCAATCAAGACTCAGTATGTTTTAAAAAATGTGTATGTTTGTACAAAAGTATGTATCATTTGTATCTCACATAATATGGTTTCAAAGATGAAAAGCAAAAGGAGCATTACCTTTCACAGACAGACGCATGAGATATTACAAGGTTTATTGCAGATGAATGTTTAAGTGGCCCTTAAATATAAACAACTGAATGTTGTTGTTGTTGCTCTTGTGTGCTACCCAATCAGAAGAGACTCACAGCTGACGCTGGGTTTTCAGACTGAAAACCGCATGGAAGGAGATTATTCATCTTTCTCCCAAGAAGTGGACTGGTGGATTCAAACCACATACCATAGGGTTGCTAGCTAACTCCTCACCCCACTAGGCCACCAGAGACTTCTAAATTCATAAACCATCTTGAGCCAACTTTCTTGATGTAAATTATTATTGTTTTTAGGTACCACTGAGTGAGGGAAGCTGAATATCAAATTTAATAAAAGTAGACCAAAAGCTATATCAAGATATGAGGGAGGCTTAATACAAACTAAAGGTCACCTTGTGGCACTAAGGCATTCCCTAAGAGTCAACTCTGTTCTTATATTGAATCCATCCCTGAAATAAGCATAAACGATAGAGAGGAACTTGGCCTTATCTGCAAAAGAGTTCCCCATAATCCCTTGTTTTTGTTTTGTACTCCCTTATTTTCCTTTATTTACCTTTCTTATGATTCTTAATAAATACCCAGAGAAGCATGGCTTGAGGCCTTCAGGGGAGAACTGCTGGCTCCCTATTCTTCACACTCTCTGTTCTATATCATGCCTGGTAGTCTGTCTCATTATTAATAATTATAAAAATACTTTACCCTCGGACAGCAACAACTGAGTATGACTCATAGGAACTCTAGAATTAACAGATCTGAACCCTGTTTTATCCTGTGCCATTCTGATTATCTGACACACTAGAGCCCAATGTTGCCGTCACCTTGTCAATCCATCTCATTGCGGGTCTTCCTCTCCTTCACTAACCCTCCACCATTTCAAGCATGATGGCCCTTTCCAAGGAATAGTCTCTTCTAGCAACATGCCCAAAGTTTGACAGATGAAGCTTCATCATCTTTGCCTCTAAGGGGCATTGTGGCTGTACTTTGTATAAAATGTATGTTAACTCTTTTGGCAGTTCAAGGGATAGTCAGTACTCTTCTCCAACACCAACACCTAAAGACACTGACTCTTCGGTCATCTTTATTCACTGTCCAGCTCTCAGACACACAGCAAGTAACTGAAAAGACCACGGCCTGAATCACACTTTAGTCTTTAAACTAACATCACTGCTTGTAATTTGAGAGTTCTCAGAGAGCAGACTTGCCCAATGCAAAACATCTCCTTAATCCAAAGAGACTGCAATTCTTTTTCCATCTGTTTTCAAAAAGGTCCTAAGGCAGGCTCTTCCTCTTGCTGTGCTAGCTTCACTTGGTAAGAATCAAGATGTAGAAGTCTAATTTTCCACACATTCCATTTATTCCCTCAGAAACATCCTATGTTTATGGCCTGAAGTTTCAGAACATAGTAATTGTTGTTATTTACTGTTGAGTCAAAACTAACTCATCACTAACACTCCAGTGGGTTTTTCAAAGGCAGTAAAATCACATAGGAGGAGATCATCCAACTTTGTCCTACAGAGCAGGTGGGAGATTCAATCTGCATGTCTTTGGGGTGGCAGCACAACTCCTTACCATTAAGCCTAAACATATCTACTTTTTTGAAGGTGGGGAAAGAAGATAACAGCACAAGTCTTCACAGAATAGTCCACTTTGTATGTAATTCTAAGAAAAATATCTTTTATTCTAGCCACTCTCAGACATATTACTTCATCGAATTCCAGGCCTGCATACTGCCCATGACTCAACCGAACTATCCATAGACCAGGTGCTTTTATGGGAAGGTAACAGAGGCTAGAAATATGTTCTAAGCACAGAATATCGCAAACCTTCAGGAAGGATCCAGCAACTAACTAGATCAGTGTAGGATGGGCACTATGTCCATAGAAACTCACAGATACAGTAAACAATGGATCTGAACTCTGCCTTATCCTGTACCATCCTCATCATCTCTACTATAGTTCACTCCATTGTTATAGTGACTTTGTCAATCCATCTCACTGAGTTTCTTTCTCCTCTTATTAACTCTCCACCTTTCCAAGCATGATGTCCTTCTCCAAGGACTGGCCCCTCTTAAAAACATGCCCAAAATATGTGAGACAAAGGAGCACCCTGGTTGCACCTTCTCTAAAACATATTGTTCTTTTGGCAGTCCAAGGGACCTTTTCAGTACTCTCCTCCCACACTACAACTCAAAGGCATCAATTCTTCTATCATCCTTATTTACTGTGCAACTTTTAGGTGCTTAGCAAGTAACTGAAAGGACCCATGGTTTGGATCAGGTACACCTTATTAAGGCTTTAAAGAGACATTGTTGCTTTTCAGCAATCTGGAGGTTCCTGGCAGCAGATTTCCCCAATGAAACAAATCTTTTCATTTCCTGCCAGTATGAATTGACGCCTTTGAGCTGTGGTGCTGGAGAAGAGTACTGATGTACCATGGACTGCTAGGAAAACAAACAGGTTCATCCTTGAGAGGATTAAAGCAGGCTGCTCCTTGGAGCCAAGGATTCTGGGGCTTCGTCTGACATACTTTGGACACGTTGGACGAGTCCTTGGAGAGGAATATCCTGCTTGGGAGGGTGGAGGGACAGTGCAGGAGGGGAAGACCCTCTATGAGGTGGATTGATTCAGTGACTAGGGTAATCAAGATGGGTGTGTCAGAGGCAGTGCGATTGGCACAGGATAGAGCAGGGTTTAGGGCTGTTGTACATAGGGTTGCTATGAGTCAAAAGCAACTCAACGGCAAATGACAACAAACAAAACAACATGGAGGAATTGTGTCTTTGATAGTAGACTTTCTACTTCTATGCTAATACCAAAAACCAAACCAACTGCCTAAATGGGTCCAAATCATCACAGCTCATCATCGGTTTCCGAGGGTATAAATCTTAATGGGAGACCACCCAAGATTCTCCCTCGAAGTAAGTGGTGGATTTGAACAGTCAGCCTCCCCTGTAGCAGCACAACAGAATACACATTATGGCACCAGAACTTTTTATTTGACAGACTTGACTAGTTTCTGTGCAGTGCCTCATCTCCCCTTCTAAATGGAAGAATCCTTGCTCACACAGTTAATCATCTTTTGTCTCAAATCAGGCCAGCATGTGAACCAACATGTGCCCAAAGTAGGCACTTCATAATTTTTGTTACACAGACTGAAAAAACTTATTTATTCTTTTCAATTTTTTATTAGTTTGCATATAGTCATTTATGTGCATCATGTTTTGTACATGTAATCTGTGGAATGTGTTTGACGTGCAGGTTTGCTCTGTCCCTGGAGTGAGGCTAGCCAGCCTGGGCCTAGGGGTTTTTTTTTTGTTTTTTTCTATATTTTATTAATTTTCATAAACATTTACAGAGATTTTGGGTTTCCATTCATTCATTGTTGCACTATTCTCTCTACCCTCCTCCCAGTTTGTTCTTGT